CTCATTAACTATCATATATAGTGCCGATTACCTCATTTCAGTACCATGCTCATTTTGTAACTATAGTTCCAAATGCTTGAAGAGCAAAGCTACATGGGATAACCTTAAAGGCATTCATTGTCATTCATGCAGGGTGAAGAATGATTCCTTCTGAGTGAACAGCTTACCAGAACAACTGCATTTCACCCTTTAAGCAGGGGCAAGATAATAAAATGGCATAGTGATAGACAGACAGATAGAATGCCTGGTATGTAATAGATACAACTGCCTGATTCCCACGACACGTCATGATCATCATGGGCTATATAACCCACAACCTTTTTATTCTCCTAGTATTTTAATTGTTAATCTGTTTTATTTAGTGGTTTTATTTTAACACAACTCCTGTTCGTTCCACAGGGGTTCCATATTCAAAAAATTGTCAGCATATGCCAAAGCTCATCCTGAATTAAATAACGCAAAATGACCTAGCTGCCTCATGTGAATGGGCTTGATATGCAACTTGTGACCTATGTTTGAAATGTGTTTTTTTATCTATTGATAAAAATCTCTACAAAAGGTAGCTGGCTTAAGCCATTCCAGAGGACTTTATCAATATAATTCATATATTCAACCTGGTCATAAGCCACTCAGTTGCATACCACAAAACAGAAGAGAACATATTTTCAAATATGATAGACATACTTTCACTTGGGCCCAAACTGAAAGAAGCACTGACGTCAGTGATGTGCCTTGTGTGCTTAATGTTCATAAGTACCTTGCCGAGATGGGACTTTGTAAAATAGAGATCATATGTCTCTGGGATGTGGCAAGGCTGTATTCATAAATGTTTGTAAAGTGCTCTCTGGTCCTCCAGTAATAGACACTAGAGAAATATTATTTTCATTATTAAAGCCTTGAAATGCATCAAGGCTTTATTGTTCATTCAAAGCCCCAAACTTAGGACAAGGTGATGTGGATAAAGAAGAAAAAGTGAAAAAAAGCCAAAAGATGGGGAGTATCTACATCCATAGAAGTAAAATAAATATTTCTCTCTGATTTATCGTGTTGTAAGCCGCCCCGAGGTTTCGGCAAGGGGCGGCATAGAAATGTTATAATAATAATAATAATAATAATAATAATAATAATAATAATAATAATAATTAGCAGGCTGCTCACATGAGGTTACCAAGAGCAGTTCTGGCTCTAATCCTGTGCTGCTTTGTATTTGTTGACTGCTACCCAAAGAACATTGTAAATACATATATAAATATATACAGTGGGCTTACTGAGAAAACTGAGTTAATGATGTATTACTGGGTGCAAAACTTACTTAGAAAAGGGCTGGCTGGTAGGTGGGCCTCAACTAACCTGTATTAAAGGCAAAGGCTAAGCACCAAGGCATGTGAATTAGACAGAAATGATGTGAAGTAAACATGTGCAGAATGCATTTTCCCCACCTAATGTCTGTTTCATCATGCAAAGCTATTTCTCTGCATGGATAAGAGAAAAACTGCAAACTGCTGTAATGTACAGCACAAGCTGGAATCTGTTCCACCTTGTGTATTGACAGCCACCCCATACCTGTCAGTGATGGTGTCCCTGCATGTGTATCTTGGCAAAATGGCCACATATAGTTTGTCACACCATATGGTACATATGTGGCTTGCCTCTATGAAGATGGCACAGTGTAGGAAGCCAGTTTTCTCTGAAACAGTGCTAAGTAAGTAGCATGTCTTGAACTTAACACGGTTATATCCAAGTGGCACAAGTGCACATTCACCTCCTCCCAACTTTCCTCAGCTCCTGTCTCCTGCTCCAACTTTCTTTTATTGCACATCCTTGGCTATTGCTGAAGGTCTCCCAATGCTTAGGAGAGGCTTTATAGATGATATAGGGCAAGGAACATCCTTTCACATATGCCACACTGGATATAGCCCATAATGACTTCCAAGCAGCCTTTGCCTGATTTAAAAATATCCACTCCTAATTTATATTAGATAGTATGAGACATCAGAGTTACCTCTTTCTGCAGTCAAAGAAATAAAGAAGCAAAGCTACTGAACAAAGCCTCTTTAACAGATACTGCTACAGAAACACATACCCTAGCAGAGCATAAACAGCAAATAACAATGCTAGGAGGCTTTCGCCCAATCTAACATTTGATCTTCAAAACTCTGTATTGCATTACTTCCAAAGTATTTCTGTCTCTAAAGAATTACTGAGTAAAATATGAAAACTGGGTAGATAGAGCTTGTTGAAAAATAATTGTAAAGGACTGGAATACTGGCTCCTGGTAGGAAGTTCCATTATCCTTGCTGTGTACAGTACAGAACCTCTGTTTTGGAGATTTGATCTGCTCACGTTCTGTTGCCCTCTCCTACCAGGTTCCTAACAAATACATTTGCAAAAAAGCTTATGATAGTCAGTATGCTCCAAAAGGTAAAGCAACAACTTCTGTAGCAGGCTATTTCCACAACAGCTAATTATCCCCCTCACACAAATTGCTTATAGCAAAACAAACAAACAGAGAGAGGATGCAAGTTTCGCACACTACTGAATCAAAATACATCTCTTCTCTTCTCTGGGTGCTTAAGCACATCTCTGTGAAGAATGGGCTCCATAATTCAGGTTCAATTCTTCTAAGGAACTGAACAAAAGGAATCTCAAAATCACCTCTAGGGTGCTTCACAACAGATGTCTTCTCACACATAAAAGGTACTCTATTTAATCCCCCCCCCCAGTGGATTTTTTCTGGTAAGAAAAAATATGGAAGAAGAAGTAGAAAAACATGGGAGCTGTACAAATTGAAAGCACTGATATATGGTCATCCCACAAAAATTCATGAATTAGCAGAGCAATGCTGTGGTAAAATCCTCATTTGTAGATCTTCCTCTATTTTGCAAGGCTGTCAACAAGAGCTAGATAGCATCTACAGTTCCAGTGTCTACAGCAAGGGTCCTCAAACTTTTTAAACAGGGGGCCAGTTCCCTGTCCTTCAGACTGTTGGGGGGGGCTGGACTATAGTTTGAAAAAAATATGAACAAATTCCTATGCACACTGCACATATCTTATTTGTAGTGCAAAAAAAAGGGAAAAAACCAATACAATATTTAAAATGAAGAACAATTTTAATCAACATAAACTTGTTAGTATTTCACTGGGAAGTAAGGGCCTGCTTTTGGCTAATGACATGGTCAATGTCCAGTTCCATATTTGTCACTGCTAGTCGTAAGAAGTGGTGCAAGTGTGCATCAGTTAGTCTGGATCTGGTTGGAGATTTCAGATGTTTCATTTGGGGAAAAGTCTGTTCACAGACATGGATGCTGCCAAAGATGGTTGCCATTTTGAGTGCATGGTTCCTGAGATTAAGATATGTCTCAGAGGGGAGAGATGCATAGAAATTAGTAAGGCTGCTTGACTTGAATGCGTTTTTCAGAGAGTCACAATCCTGTGGTTTGGCCAGTTCCATTTGGTCAATCGGATCAACAATTTCAATGTCAACAGAAAATGGCTTCCGGAAAAGCTGTATGTCCTGTTCATGGAGATGAAGCTCTTTAAATCTAATTTGAAACTCCTTTTGCAACATTTCCAGTGAATCCACACATGTTGTGTTTGGGAATGCAACTGCTGGTTTTTCCGCCACCAGGTTTTGAGTTGTAGGGAGATGGCAGAAGTTTTCCTCCTTCACTTGTTTAATGAGGAGGTCTAATTTTACTTCAGATGCTTTCACATGTGACTGCATATCACTGATGAGCTTCCCCTTTCCTTGAAGTTGCACGTATGTCTCTGCGTATAGTTTGTAAAGATAGACTAGGGTTGCAGGACTTAGTGAATATTCAGTGAGTTTCTCTTTTTTTTAAACCTGTGTTATTTTTTTTAATTAAAAATGTAATTTTTTACAGCTTCAGAAGTTGTGCCCCTCAACCTCTTTTCCACTGCCATGTGGTTCCTGTCACTGCCTTGTTGTACATATCTCCTGGAAGGGGTCACTGCCATGTTGTACATATCTCAGGCCTGCCAGAGCGCAGATAGTTATGACAGAACACAGGGAACCTCCACACATACACTCTGCTCTCACAGCTGACATAATCACACAGAGAATTATCATCAGTGACCTGTGAGGGGCTGCACTCTGCTCCTTATGCTGAAATACCACGGTTAGTTATATTTAGGAAATAAAATAAATTTGACACAGAAATATTAATAAAAGTATTATATAGTTTAAAAAATATATTTTTTGTACCTTCCATCTTCTGTCTCCACCTCTCTTCTCTTCCCACCGCCCTCCTCTCTTTTGTATTCCCGCTCCTCTCTTCTGTATTCTCCCTCTATATTCTTGCTCCTCTCTATTCTGAGCCAATGCATGCGTGCAATGCAGGAAGAGCTGGTGCGTGCGCAATTCATGCTGGCAAGACCAGCACAGCAGCAGGAGCTAGCCAGAGCTAGCAGAGAAAGCCGGCACACGTGCAGTTGAAGGGAACTGTCACAATTTGGCTTGTGCGCTGGTTCTCTGCTAGTCTCTGAAACTGAAAGAGTTTCAGAGTACGCCTGCGCTGGCTCAGAGCTTTTGGATCATTTTCTCGTTCTGAAAGCTCTGAGGCGGGACCTTGGCGGGTCATATCTGGCCTGTGGGCTGTAGTTTGAGGAACCCTGGTCTACAGTATCTACAGTTCCAGTGTAATCACAATGAATTTCCTGGGTAAATGGGTAGAGAACTGCAATCAATTTCCACTGTACATATAGCTGGTTACCTTTCAATATACTGCAAAGTCACCACCAATACTAAACAGGCCCACTTATACTGTATCTATACTTTCTTCAGCTGGGTAATTCTGTCACTTGAAAGTAGAAACAAACTGTTGTCTTATCTTGTCAAACAGATTAAGTATCATACAACTGAAAGAAGCAACAGAGGAGGAGAAAACAATCTGATTCAGTACAGTCTCCCATTAAAGGATGTTTCCAGAAAAAACTTATTAAATGCTACACAGTCCTAACAGGGAAGAGGAGGAAGTTACCTTGGGTAGGCAGTCTTATGTTGCTCCTTTTCAACAGTTTTTGCTTCTTAGCTTGCTCTACTAAAGAAAAAAAATCTTTAGAGATCATGAAAATGTTACTGATATGATTGTGATGGACAAAAGCTGTAAAAATGTTTCTTCCTCTTTAATATCCAAGCGATTTATTAGATAAAAGATATTGGATTGGATCCAGAGTTATGTGCACTTAGAATACCCTGAAAAAGCATAGGAGGCTGCTGATGGAAGAAGGAATCAGCAAAAGTAGTCTCCCACATACAAATACTTCTGCTCACAAAAACGCTGCTGAATCCAAACCATTACGCTACATGACAAGCCTTAGGTATCCAGGCCAAAAATTAAAATAACACTACCCTACACAAGAACTTGGAGATCCTGGGTTCAGCAGTCCCTAATAACCTATATAAAGTCCCTTGGTGGTTAGTTAAACAGCAACACACTTCACGTTATAAAAAAGTTTTAAGATAATTTGTGGAATATTTAGAAAAAAACAAATCAATGTGATTCTTAAAGGCAATCACAACTGTCTGGAAGAAAATTGACATTTTAGAATTATCTCCATTGCTGAAATTGCAAGATTTTATAGCAATTTTAACACCAAATGAATTCAAGAGTTGTTGGCAACACAGTCTTACAAAAAGATTGTTTTACACACATGGCAACACTGCCCCTTGAGTGTTTTGGAATTCTCTCTCTCTCTCTTCTAGACTATTAGGGTATAGTAAAGACTGCATTTAAAAAAATCTATTAGAAGAAAATATGCAAGCAGTACCTCCAAGGTAGCTGTTAAATGGATATCTAAGTAAAATCTTAAGAAAGTAGCTAAGATTACTAAATTTAGTCCTATCTTATAAGAACTAATATAACCAAGATGGAGTTCTTTATAAATTATAGAGGCATGGTCTAAGGTTGTAATCTTATATAACCATACCTGGAAGTAGAGGCAATATTTGGAATTTAATTCTGATACAAGATGTGTAAGATTTCGTTGTAAACTACCTTGAATTATCCCTTCTGTGATCAGTAGTCTTACCATTTAAATGGTTCATCGTTTTGCTTAAGGTGAATTCTTTAGAATTTTTCTGGGTAGTATGCTGGTGGCATAATTCAATACAATGTGAGCCAACTGTATTGCAAATGTAGCATCTCAGTATTATTATTATTTCATTTCTATACTGCCCCACAGTCAACAAGTGCTTGTGCAAAACGTAAATTGTATGTATTTATTATTAATACTTATATACTACCTTATCTGCTAAAAAGTTGTAATATGTAAAAGAACATATGCCAATTCTATATCAAAAAAGCACATTATGAAAAAGAATTCTTACTTAGCATCCGGGTTTTTCTCACTTCAATTTTTAAGTTACCATAGTTGTCAGTAATGCCAATATTATTTTCAAGCTCTTTGGTGCCCTCTAAAGCCTGAAAGAATAACTCCGTTTAATATTTTTGACAAAGCTCCAGGCATTCCCAAACCACCTGCTCTTTTTTGTTTCATTAGCGTAAATGACTTACAAAATGTTGCTAACATTAACATTGGAAAAGAAGTGCTTTTATATAATAGCAAAATCACTAGTGTGGTTGAATGTCTCATCATACCCTCTTCAGTGTGAGCAAACTCTTACTGTGGGAAACTAATAGAAGGCTACTTTGCATTTCCAAACTATTTGCCTGAATCCCACTTCTATAGCCCAGTCAGTTGCTTCATTTGCCCACCTCTCTGTATCCTGCAATACACACTATTCAGACCAAAGAAAGGTGGCGATGGCTTTGAGTAGCCCAGTCTATCTCTCCTTTCCAGTTGTTGGAAACTGATGCTGGAAGAATTAGAAACATAGAAAAATAGAAACAGAGCAAGTCAGAAGGGGCCTCCCGGGTCATCTAGTCTGACCTCTGGCACCAGCCGGCTCCGCTCACGACATGTCCACCATGTGGACGTCCAGTCTATCCTTGAACACCCACACCGATGGGGCCTCAACAACCTCTCGTGGAAGCCCATTCCTCACCCTTGGGGTCCTGACTGTCAGGAAGTACTTCCTGGCATCCAAATGGAACCTTGGCTCCCTGACCATTGCTTCATTGCAGCGTGTCCTGCCTTCCTCCGCAGGGGAGAACAGGTCTCTACCCATCTCCATGTGACATCCCCTCACATACCTGTATGTCGCCAACAGATCCCCTCTGAGTCTCCTCTTCTCCAGGCTGAAGAGACACAGTTCCCTCAGTCTCGCCTCATATGGCATCCCCTGCAAACTGGCCACCAACCTTGTGGCCCTATGCTGCACTGACTCCAACCTGGCTATATCCTTTCTGTAATGAGGGGCCCAAAACTGAACACAGTACTCCAAATGCAGGCACACCAGAGTGGTAGTAATACCTCTCTTGATCTAGAAGCCACACTTCTGGCTATGCAACCAAGGGTGGCGTTCGCCCTCTTGACCACGGCATCACACTGCTGACTCATGTTTAGCCTGCAGTCAACCAGTACCCCAAGGTCCCTTTCACAAGTGCTGCTCTCCAGCCACTTGTCACCTAACCTGTACTTATGACACCTATTCCTGTGCCCCAAGTGCAAGACCTTGCACTTATCCACACTGAACGCCATCCTGTTGTCTCCTGCCCACTTCCATAGTCTGTCCAGATCCTTTTGAATCTGGAGTACCTGCTCCTCAGTTGTGGCCACTGCTCCAGTTTTAGTGTCGTCTGCAAATTTGATCAGCAGACTGTTCACCCCTTCCTCCATGTCAATGAAAAGATTAAACAGGATCGGACCCAAGACAGAGCACTGGAGGACCCCGCTTGTTACAGGCCGCCATCCCGATGATTCCCCGCTAATGGTTACCTTCTGCTTTCGGTCAGTCAACCATGTCCTAATCCACCGGACAGTGCTTTGGTGTATCCCAAAACTCCTCAGTTTCTCCACCAGGATATCATGGGGCACTTTGTCAAAGGCCTTGCTGAAATCCAGGTATACCACATCCACTGCATCCCCTCCATCTAGCCATTTCGAAACCTTGTCATAGAATTCCACAAGGTTTGTCTGGCAGGACCTGTTTTTGCGGAAGCCGTGTTGTGTGGCTGTCAGCCTCC